TATATTCCTGCCACCTTTATCAAAGATAAGGTGACCATATGTGCATGGGTTTATCTCTGGGCTTTCTATCCTATTCCATTGATCTATCTTTCTGTTTTTGTGCCAGTACCATACTGTCTTGATTACTGTAGCTTTGTAGTATAGTCTGAAGTCAGGCAGCCTGATTCCTCCAGCTCCATTTTTTGTTCTCAAGATTGCTTTGGCTATTCGGGGTCTTTTGTGTTTCCATACAAATTGTGAAATTTTTTGTTCTAGTTCTGTGAAAAATGCCAGTGGTAGTTTGATAGGGATTGCATTGAATCTATAGATTGCTTTGGGAAGTAGAGTCATTTTCACAATGTTGATTCTTCCAATCCAAGAACATGGTATATCTCTCCATCTGTTTGTATCATCTTTAATTTCTTTCATCAGTGTCTTATAATTTTCTGCATACAGGTCTTTTGTCTCCTTAGGTAGGTTTATTCCTAGATATTTTATTCTTTTTGTTGCAATGGTAAATGGGAGTGTTTTCTTGATTTCACTTTCAGATTTTTCATCATTAGTATATAGGAATGCCAGAGATTTCTGTGCATTAATTTTGTATCCTGCTACTTTACCAAATTCATTGATTAGCTCTAGTAGTTTTCTGGTAGCATCTTTAGGATTCTCTATGTATAGTATCATGTCATCTGCAAACAGTGACAGCTTTACTTCTTCTTTTCCGATTTGGATTCCTTTTATTTCCTTTTCTTCTCTGATTGCTGTGGCTAAAACTTCCAAAACTATGTTGAATAAGAGTGGTGAGAGTGGGCAACCTTGTCTTGTTCCTGACCTTAGTGGAAATGCTTTCAGTTTTTCGCCATTGAGGATGATGTTGGCTGTGGGCTTGTCATATACGGCCTTTATTATATTGAGGAAAGTTCCCTCTACACCTACTTTCTGCAGGGTTTTTATCATAAATGGGTGTTGAATTTTGTCAAAAGCTTTCTCTGCATCTATTGAGATGATCATATGGTTTTTCTCCTTCAATTTGTTAATATGGTTAATCACATTGATAGATTTGCGTATATTGAAGAATCCTTGCATTCCTGGAATAAACCCCACTTGATCATGGTGTATGATCCTTTTAATGTGCTGTTGGATTCTGTTTGCTAGTATTTTGTTGAGGATTTTTGCATCTATGTTCATCAGTGATATTGGCCTGTAGTTTTCTTTCTTTGTGACATCCTTGTCTGGTTTTGGTATCAAGGTGATGGTGGCCTCGTAGAATGAGTTTGGGAGTGTTCCTCCCTCTGCTATATTTTGGAAGAGTTTGAGAAGAATAGGTGTTAGCTCTTCTCTAAATGTTTGATAGAATTCGCCTGTGAAGCCATCTGGTCCTGGGCTTTTGTTTGTTGGAAGATTTTTAATCACAGTTTCAATTTCAGTGTTTGTGATTGGTCTGTTCATATTTTCTATTTCTTCCTGATTCAGTCTTGGCAGTTTGTGCATTTCTAAGAATTTGTCCATTTCTTCCAGATTGTCCATTTTATTGGCATAGAGTTGCTTGTAGTAATCCCTCATGATTTTTTGTATTTCTGCAGTGTCAGTTGTTACTTCTCCTTTTTCATTTCTGATTCTATTGATTTGAGTCTTCTCCCTTATTTTCTTGATGAGTCTGGCTAATGGTTTATCAATTTTGTTAATCTTCTCAAAGAACCAGCTTTTAGTTTTATTGATCTTTGCTATTGTTTCCTTCATTTCTTTTTCATTTATTTCTGATCTGATTTTTATGATTTCTTTCCTTCTGCTAACTCTGGGGTTTTTTTGTTCTTCTTTCTCTAATTGCTTGAGGTGCAAGGTTAGGTTGTTTATTCGAGATGTTTCCTGCTTCTTAAGGTGGGCTTGTATTGCTATAAACTTCCCTCTTAGAACTGCTTTTGCTGCATCCCATAGGTTTTGGGTCGTTGTATCTCCATTGTCATTTGTTTCTAGGTATTTTTTAATTTCCTCTTTGATTTCTTCAGTGATCACTTCGTTACTAAGTAGTGTATTGTTTAGCCTCCATGTGTTTGTATTTTTTACTGCTCTTTTCCTATAATTGATATCTAATCTCATGGCGTTGTGGTCGGAAAAGATACTTGATATAATTTCAATTTTCTTAAATTTACCAAGGCTTGATTTGTGACCCAAGATATGATCTATCCTGGAGAATGTTCCATGAGCACTTGAGAAAAATGTGTATTCTGTTGTTTTTGGATGGAGTGTCCTATAAATATCAATTAAGTCCATCCTGTTTAATGTATCATTTAAAGCTTGTGTTTCCTTATTTATTTTCATTTTGGATGATCTGTCCATTGGTGAAAGTGGGGTGTTGAAGTCCCCTACTATGAATGTGTTACTGTCGATTTCCCCTTTTATGGCTGCTAGTTTTTGCCTTATGTATTGAGGTGCTCCTATGTTGGGTGCATAAATATTTACAATTGTTATATCTTCTTCTTGGATCGATCCCTTAATCATTATGTAGTGTCCTTCTTTGTCTCTTCTGATAGTCCTTATTTTAAAGTCTATTTTGTCTGATATGAGAATTGCTACTCCAGCTTTCTTTTGGTTTCCATTTGCATGGAATATCTTTTTCCATCCCCTTACTTTCAGTCTGTATGTGTCTCTAGGTCTGAAGTGGGTCTCTTGTAGACAGCATATATATGGGTCTTGTTTTTGTATCCATTCAGCCAATCTGTGTCTTTTGGTGGGAGCATTTAGTCCATTTACATTTAAGGTAATTATCGATATGTATGTTCCTATTCCCATTTTCTAAATTGTTTTGGGTTCGTTATTATAGGACTTTTCCTTCTCTTGTGTTTTTGTCTAGAGAAGTTCCTTTAGCATTTGTTGTAAAGCTGGTTTGGTGGTGCTGAACTCTCTCAGCTTTTGCTTGTCTGTAAAGGTTTTAATTTCTCCATCAAATCTGAATGAGATCCTTGCTGGGTAGAGTAATCTTGGTTGCAGGTTTTTCTCCTTCATCACTTTCAGTATGTCCTGCCACTCCCTTCTGGCTTGTAGAGTTTCTGCTGAGAGATCAGCTGTTAACCTTATGGGGATTCCCTTGTGTGTTATTTGTTGTTTTTCCCTTGCTGCTTTTAATATGCTTTCTTTGTATTTAGTTTTTGACAGTTTGATTAATATGTGTCTTGGCGTATTTCTCCTTGAATTTATCCTGTATGGGACTCTCTGTGCTTCCTGGACTTGATTAACGATTTCCTTTCCCATATTAGGGAAGTTTTCAACTATAATCTCTTCAAATATTTTCTCAGTCCCTTTCTTTTTCTCTTCTTCTTCTGGAACCCCTATAATTCGAATGTTGGTGCGTTTAATGTTGTCCCAGAGGTCTCTGAGACTGTCCTCAGTTCTTTTCATTCTTTTTTCTTTATTCTGCTCTGCAGTAGTTATTTCCACTATTTTATCTTCCAGGTCACTTATCCGTTCTTCTGCCTCATTTATTCTGCTATTGATCCCATCTAGAGTATTTTTCATTTCATTTATTGTGTTGTTCATCATTGTCTGTTTCATCTTTATTTCTTCTAGGTCCTTGTTAACTGCTTCTTGCATTTTGTCCATTCTATTTCCAAGATTTTGGATCATCTTTACTATCATTATTCTGAACTCTTTTTCAGGTAGACTGCCTATTTCCTCTTCATTTGTTAGGTCTGGTGGGTTTTTATCCTGCTCCTTCATCTGCTGTGTGTTTTTCTGTCTTCTCATTTTGCTTATCTTACTGTGATTGGGTTCACCTTTTTGCAGGCTGCAAGTTCGTAGCTCCCGTTGTTTTTGATGTCTGTCTCCAGTGGCTAAGGTTGGTTCAGTGGGTTGTGTAGGCTTCCTGGTGGAGGGGACTAGTGCCTGTGTTGTGGTGTATGAGGCTAGATCTTGTCTCTCTAGTGGGCAGGTCCACGTCTGGTGGTGTGTTTTGGGGTGTCTGTGGACTTATTATGATTTTAGGCAGCCTCTCTGCTAGTGGGTGGGGTTGTGTTCCTGTTTTGCTATATGGTTGGCATAGGTTGTCCAGCACTGTAGCTTGCTGGTCGTTGAGTGAAGCTGGGTGCTGGTGTTGAGATGGAGATCTCTGGGAGATTTTCGCCGTTTGATATTCATACTAAAATTTAAAAGCCAAGAGCAATAAATCCTGATGTACTTTGGGAAATCTAAATGATTACATTATAAATTTCTCTTTGATCATTAATATAGTGACTTTACATAGAGTTCCATATTGTGTCCTACAGTAGATTTACAGCTTGAAGCAGCTCTAGGATTTGACTGTTGGGCCTAATTCCTGATAAGAGTGTTTAATAAAATATGTACGTTGTGGATGGCGGAATTCCACACACTGGGGAGAGAAGTAACTTGATCTCTTGAGCTACTTATGAGGTGAAGTAGGAAATCAACTGCAAACTTTCCTTCTAGATCAAAAAAGTGTGTCTTTGTGGGCAACCCATATATAGCCATTTTACCTTTGTGGAATGGGCTTTATTATCCTTACCATTTGTGATATTTTTGTAATACAAGCTTCTTTAATTATTGCTTTTTAATGTCTGAAGAGTACTGGGAACAACTGTCATTCTTGTTGAATCTCTAAAAAAGGCAATACAGAGGTAATTATTTTTTTAACCTCTTATTAAACATATCCATAAATTATCCATGCTTCATGGATGTCAGTTTGTGGATGTCTAGGCAGATAGACAACTAATGCCCATAACTTACAGGAAAGAATCTACTTACTTCCAACTGCATGGGTTGGCAACATATGATTCACGAGATGCATCTTATCAACTCCTTTCTTTGCTTAAAATTATACCATTAACTAAGTATCTCAAACCAATTATATATGTTCTTATTTGGAATAACAAAAGTAAATGCCAGGAGGAGACACAGAATACTTAGTAAGATATGGTCTAACAAAGCAGAATGAATGAAGAAAAAGCATATAAAAGGTAATATATGTATACACTTCAGTTCAACCTGTCCTCTTTGTTTTTTTCTACTAGGCACATCATCTTTGCTCCAAGCAGCCACAACAAATATGCTGGTGAATCATTTCCTGGCATCTCTGATTCTATATTTGATATTGAAAATAAAGCAGATCCTCATTCAGCCTGGAAAGAAGTAAAGAAACACATTTCAATTGCAGCCTTTACAATTCAAGCAGCAGCAGGGACTCTGAAAGAGTTGTTATAGTAAGGTCTCAGCCAACTAGCTGCCATTAAAAGTCTGAGGATAAAATCCGTCTTTCTTTCTGATAACACGTGAAGCCAGAGCATGCTAAAATCTTGCTTTTCATGTCATTTTTTTTTTTTCTTTTTCTGGCACGCGGGCCTCTCACTGTTGTGGCCTCTCCTGTTGAGGAGCACAGGCTCTGGACGCGCAGGCTCAGCGGCCAGTGGCCACGGCTCACGGGCCCAGCCACTCCGCGGCATGTGGGATCTACCTGGACTGGGGCACGAACCCGTGTCCCCTGCATTGGCGGACTCTCAACCACTGTGCCACCAGGGAAGCCCTCATGTCTCGTTTTGACTTTAGACTTCCACCTTGTTCATCTGCAAAGAGATTTTTGGCTCTTTGAAAATTCATAACTTCATCATCAAAGTGCTAATCCAATAAAACAAACCAAAAAACCTCTAGTCATATGGAGAAAGAGATAAAGTAAGTGAAAATTCCTTAAAATAAAATATGGCAAGGAACTTGAACTCTTCAGACATTGGTGGCCAGAAAGTAAAACAGTACAACCACTTCGGAAGACAGTCTGGCACTTTCTTATAAAGTTAGATATATACTTATATTATAGCTCTAAAATTCTACTTCTAGGTATTTACTAAGGAAAAGCAAAAACATGATCACGAAAAGACTGTTGCATGTTCATCGCAGCTCAATGTGCAAATAATGCAAATGCCCATCAATAAATGAATGGATAAATTGTGGTATATTCACAATGGAATACTACTCAGCAATAAAAATGAAATAACTGCCAATATATGTAATATTATTGGCAGACATTGTTGAGGGAAAGAAGCCAGACACAAAAGAATGCCTAGTATGAGATTCAATTTATATGAAGAAGCAAAACTAATCTATGGTATTAGGAATTAGATCAGTGATTGCTTGGGTCAAGTAAGGGGCAGGCAGGGAGGAAATCTGCTACAAAGAGAAAAGTTTCTGGGATGATGGGAGTTTCCTGTATCATGATCTGGATGATGGTTACACAGGAATATACAGTTGTCAAACTTCATCAAACAGTAAACTTAAAATGTGTAACAATGATACCTTATAAATAAATTTGATTACCAAGAAAAAAAATGTCTGGCAAGGAGACTGGAATAGCACACCTTCTCTTGTGAAACCATCACGGAGTATAAATGGTAAGGAAAAGTGAGTAACAGCTATACTTTTGATAACTTCAACTCTACTGAATAATATATATCTGATAGGTGAAAATAGTTGACCCTTGAATAACATGGGGGTTAGGGGTGTTGACCCTCTGCGCAGTTGAAAATCCATGTGTAACTTGACACTTGGCCTCTCCATATCCTTTTTTCTGCATGCATGGATTCAGCCAACCATGGATCATGTAGTGCTGTAGTACATATCTAGTGGAAAAAAATCTGTGGATAAATGGACCTATGCAGTTGAAACCTGTGTTGTTCACAGGTCTACTGCAGTTGCCACAAATCTTCATACTCTGACTCCTATTGAACAGAAGTATATCAGCATGTGCAAACTTTCATGCAGAGCCTAATGATTCAGAATTGTGGGTAATCTGAGATGAAAGCTTCAAAAAGCTTGGTCGTTTAATTACTTTGCCAAAAAGAGTTGAGAATCAAAATTAAATGAGCCCTCATAGGCAGGCACACTAACTACAGTAAGAAGCTTTAAAGGGCAATAAAAGATATTACTCATGAAGTATAAATAAATTTATAAAGCATATTAAATTAGACTTCTGTGAAAAGTCTGTTTTAGCAAATCTATGAATTTAATTTTCTACCATACTATATTACCTTAACATAAGACTTTATTTTAGGATAGAGGAGTAACTGTATTTTAACTTTTGACTTAAAACACTGTCTTGTAGAGACAATATTGGGTTTTCTACTGTCCCAACTGAGTAAATCACTACATAATTTTGGGCATCAGTTTCTTCAAGAGTAAGGATTGTTAAGGTTCCATCTAACTCTACTGTATCATTTCTAAAGGGGACAAAATACAAAAATTTATAAATCTCTTTTATGTTTTCCCTACCGGCAGCTTTCCAGAAGAAAGATATTTATTGCTAAAACAGCATGTATGGTTAGAAATATGGGTTTAGAGAAAAATAGTAACCTTTTCAACTTATTGTTTACTTTAATTGGTAAGTTATTTTGTTTTTGTCATCTTTAATCAACAATTGATCATTTGAACAGAACAATGATTATGTGGTATGCACTGTAATAAACTCAGGATATTAGATAGAGAATATGTACTACCACATGTTCAACACACAGAACATGTTTGAACTACTTGTTTAGTCTTTTTCCTGTAGGATTATTTTATCTCTAAGATGTTTACGCTTGGTAACCACAAAACAAAAATCTAGAGTAGTCATGAAACATGAAAAAAAGGGAGACTGAGCAAATCACAGTGGAAAATCACGACTTTACAAAGATAGACAGAAACAGGGAAAAGCAAAGGAGATACAAAACAACCAGAAGACAAACAGTAAGATGGCAGTAGTAAGTCCTTACATATCAGTAATCACTCTAAATAGAAATAAATTCAATTCACTAATCAAAGGCACAGAGTGGCTGGGTGGATTAAAGAGACCTAACTATATAATTTCAGCTCTAGAGATACACATAATCTCAGGGTGAAGATGGGAGTGGATGAGGATATTCCGTGCAACTGGAAACCAAAAGAAAGCAGGTATAGCCAGACAAAAGAGACTTAATGCCAAAAATGATGAGACAAAAGGTCATTATATAATGATAAAAAGGTCAATATATCCAGAAGATACAACAATCATAAATATATATATACACCCAACATTGGCACACTGAAATATATTAAGCAAATTCTAATAGATCAAAAGGGAGAGATAGACAATAATGTAATAATAGTAGAGGATTTCAATATCCCACTGCCAGCAATGACCACTGATCATCCAGACATCAAATCAATAAGAAATGTTGGAATTTAACCATACTGTATAACAAATGACCTTAACAGACATATCCAAAAGTAGCAGAATATACATACTTCTCAAGTGCACACAGAACATTATCTAGTATAAATCATGATATGAGAAGAAATGAAAACAACACATCTCAACAAATAAGAATACTGAAATCACACCAACTATCTTTTCAGATAACAATCTATGAAACTAGAAATCAACAATAAGAGGAAAGCTGGAAAAATCTACAGATATGTGGAAAGTAAACAAGACACTCCTAAACAATGGAGGGGAAAAAAAGGAAATTAAAAAATTATCTCAAAACAAATGAAAATGGAAATACAACCTATCAAATCTTATGGGATGAAGGAAAAGCAGTTCCGAGAGGAAAGTTTATAGCAATAAATTCATATATTGAGAAATTTAGAAACATCTCAAAAAAAAAATCTCCCTTTTACACCTCAAGGAACTAGAAAGAGAAAGCAGGAGGATCAAAGTGGAAATACATGAATAGAGACCAGGGAGGAAAAAAACAGAATTAACAAAATTAAAGCTGGCTCTTCAAAAGATAAACAAAATTGACAAACCTTTAACCAGACTAAGAAAAAAAGAGAGAAGACTCAAAATTAGAAATGAAAAAGAAGACACTACAGAGATACAAATACTACAGAAATACAGAAGACATATGAGACTATTATGAACAATTATGTGCCAGTGAGATAACCTAGAAGAAATGCATAAACTTTTATAACTACAAACTACCAACACTGAATCAGGACAAACAGAAATTCTGAACAGACCATTAATGAGCAAAGAAAGTGAATGAGTAATCAAAAACCACACAACACAGAAAACCTCAGGACCAGATGGCTTCATTGGCAAATTTTACCAAACATCCAAAAGAGAATTAACAACAGTCCTTCTCAAACTCTTGCAAAAACCTGAGGAGGAAATACTTCCAAAGTCATTTTACAAGGCCAGAATTACCCTGATTCTGAAGCCAGATAAGGACACTTTAACAATAGACTTAATATCCCTGATGAATGTAGCTGCAAATTTTTCAATAAAATCTTAGCAAACTGAATTTAAGAACATACAAAAAGGGTTATACATCATGACCAAATGGGATTTATCCCTTTGATGCAAAGATGGTTCAACATGTAAATCAATAAATATAATATATCACATTAATGAAAGATAAAAATTATGTGATGATCTCAGTTGATGCAGAAAAGCATTTGATAAAATACAACATCCTTTCATGATTAAAAAACGCTAGGCAGGGGCTTCCCTGGTGGCACAGTGGTTGAGAGTCCGCCTGCCGATGCGGGGGACACGGGTTCGGGCCCCAGTCCGGGAAGATCCCACATGCCGTGGAGCGGCTAGGTCTGTGAGCCATGGCCACTGAGCTTGCGCGTCTGGAGCCTGTGCTCTGCAACGGGAGAGGCCACAACAGTGAGAGGCTCGTGTACTGCAAAAAAAAAAACAAAAAAAACAAAAAAAAACGCTAGGCAGACTGGGTATAGAGGAACATACCATAATAAAGGCCATATGTAACAAACCTACAGTTAACATGATACTCAATGGATAAAAATTGAAAGCTATTCCTCTAAGATCAGGAACAAGACAAGGATGCCCGCTTTCACAATTCTTATTAAATATAGTACTGAAGGACTAAATTGCTCAATATAGAGCAATTGGGCAAGACAAACAAAAGGCATCCAAATAGAGAATGAAGAACTAAGTGTTGATATTTGCAATATTTGCAATATATAGAAGATCCCAAAGACTCAACCAAAAAAAAAAAATACTGTTGGAACTAATTAATCATTTCAGTAAAATTGCAGGATACAAAAATCAATATACAGAAATCAATTACATTTCTATATGCTAAGAATGAAACATTTGAAAAGGAAATAAAGAAAACTATCCCAATCACAATAGCATCAAAAACAATAAAATACTTAGGAATAAGTTTAACCAAGGAAGTGAAAGATTATTGCTGAAAGAAACTGAAAACAAAAGTAATAAATGGAAAGACAGCCTGTGTTTATGGATCGGAATAAGTAATATTGTCAAAATGTCCATACTATCCAAAGCCATCTATAGATTCAACAAAATTCCCATCAAAACACCAATGGCA